TCCTTATGGCTGACTAAAGGAGATACAGTGGAGACTCATTTCTCATTTTATTTTTCAGTGATTTGGGACCAGGTGGCGTTTTCTGTATGGCTGACTAAAGGGGATACCAGTGGAGACTTCTGATTTTATTTTTCAGCGATTTGGCGGAGAAGTTCCTCTTGTGAGTGGACTCTGGATTTCTGGGAGCTGCGCTGCGGGTTCCCCTGTGTGGCTTTGGGTCTCACTGTGTGGCTTTCGCCTGTACTGTGCAGGCACTTGCACTTCCTCTGTGGGGCACGGGGTGGCACTCCCGGGCAAGTCAGTGGCTGGGGGAGCCCTGGGTGAGGGGCTGCCTCTGCTAAACCCGGACCCTCGGGACCATCCATCCAGCAAAACGTGTTCTTTCCTTTTTCCTTTGCGAATAGATGGGGACCAGGCTTCACCGAGTGGTGAAGGTGACCCATTGGGCCGGAACTGAGGAACAGGGACCATGGGGCTTGCCTGACCAGTGGAGTATCCACCCTCAAACATGTTGACAACAGACAAGAACAAACGTTGCCTGGAATCTTCACATCTCTGGGAGGGAAGCCCGGCTCTGGGAATGCGCTGCAGGGAAGTGATCCCTGAGTGAAGAAGGAGGTGCCAGGAGCATCATTAATCAGACCTCGGGAGGCAATGCCGGGAAGGTTCTTTGTTTAAAGAAACGCTCATGTTTAAAGAGCACCCTTGCAGGACTTGCTGGGGCAACTGCCTTCCAACAGCTCATCTTGAGGAGGTGCTGGCTGAATTCACACCTGCGTGTCATCCCCTGTCTGCTGCAGCGCAGAGGAGGCAGTGAGGCTTTCCAGCTGCTCGGCTTTTACAGGAAGTTCTTCACATTGGCTAGAGGGGGAGTGGCTGTGCTTTGGCTTATAGCCACATTAAATAATTTTTTTTTGAGATGGGAAAAAAAATATATATATATTTTGTTGTTGTTGTTGTTGTTGCCCAGGCTGGAGTGCAGTGGCACAATCTTCGTTCACTGTAACCTCTGCCAGCTGGGTTCAAGAAATTCTCCTGTCTCAGCCTCCCAAGTAGCTGGGATTGCAGGTGCCCACCACCACACCCGGCTAATTTTTGTATTTTTAGTAGAGACGGGGTTTCACCATGTTGGCCAGGATGGTCTTGAACTCCTGACCTCAGGTGATCCACCCACCTCGGCCTCCCAAAGTGTTGGGATTACAGACGTGAGCCACAGCGCCCAGCCAGTAATTTTAATAAAGCTAAATGACTATGTTGCCTTGCTGTCTCTGAGTGTTACAGGCAGACCCGAGTCCAAGTCTTCCTACGGTTAATTGTCCCCTCTATATTTCCTGGGAACCCCAGATAAGATGGCATCAATGTCAGTTAACTTGGCACTCTTTAAAATAGATCTAGGATCAGGTCTTAAGTTTTTCCAAATAAGACCTTGGATGAATGCAGGAAGTTCTTTTGACAGATCATTTGATTACTTTAAAATAAGAGTATTTTAAGTTTGAAAAAGCCAGTCATAAAACTAAGCCCTGTACCAATGATTAAACCTCAGGAAGCCAGCAGCACAGGGTTATTATTATGAATATCACAACCATTATAAGTAAGCTCATTTATTTTCAAAGCACTTTGCGATCATAAATTGTTTATGTCTGTGAATACCCCCAAGACAGACAGTATTATTAATTCCATTTGAGAGGAAGAGAACTCAGGCACAGAAAACCCGAAATTCATTGCCCCGAAGGGGAAAAGGAGACACCAGGAGCACTGGCTGTCCTTTGCTGCGGCTTTTCTCTGGTAGAGACCCCGGGACCTACACCCTCCCTCTCCCATCACAGCCACGCCACCCTCTATTGCCGCACGAACGTTTCCGCTCAGTCTCAGGATGGTCACATGGATGTAACACTTGGCAGGCTGGTTATCTCAATGTCTGTTATCTCAAAAATTAATCCTCATGGCAAGCTTAGAAAGAGGCAATAGTAGCCCCATTTCATAGGAAAATGAAGGATCAGTGAGAAAGTGACAGATCCGTCACTGGTAGTGGAGGGCAGAGCCACTGTGGTGAGTCAGGCCTCGGCTGCAGGTCTGAGTTTGTGCCGCTGCTGCTGTCTAGGCAAGAGGCATGGCCCATCTGCGGCTATGGGTGGTGGGCACAGCGTTTGGTCATCTGACTGCCTCCCACCCCCCATGTATGCTCTTTGTCTCATTTAAGTCCGTGAGGGTAGTTTAGGCCCTTGTCCCTCCCACAGCATCGCACGGAAAAACAGGCAAGTCCGGACCAGGACTAAATCCACTTTAAAAGACCTACCCTCTGATGGGCGGATTCTCTCCCTCCCCACTTAAGAGATGATGCTGCCTTGACTGGCCCGGCAGGGCTCTGGCTGACTCTCGTGGAGCCTGGGACCTCTACCTTCGCAGGTGTGTTCCCGTGCTGCTTGCTCTGTATTTCCAGCTCTTGCTTTTGTCCTTTTATTGTCTAGAGTAATTGATAATTGCGATTTCTCTGGCCTGCATGAAATTTATACAATAAATGGACATATAGAAAATAAATATGGTATGGAGCCATCACTATGTGCAAGATATTCTGCCAGGGAGGCTGAAGAGTCCCACAGCTTCTAGGGACCCGTCCCTGGCCTAATGGAGCTCACAACAGATTGAGAAGGGAGGAGGGACACTGCAGACACAGCCCACGCTGCCCAGTGCCAGGTGCAGGAGGGCAGTGGGTGCAGCTGGACTGTGGGCGGGTGTGTGTGGCCTGGGCCCCGGCTCGGTTCGGGAGCCTCATGGCCACTCTGCTGTCTTCCTCTGTGCGCGGCCTGGGCCGCACTGCATGTGGAGTTGTCAGATCAGACTTGGATGCTGCAACCCAAGGAGAGAGGAGGACAGAGCCCTGGAGAAGAACGGCACTCAGCAGCCTGACCCCTAAAACCACACGAAGCAGAAACCAAGCCAATGGCAATGGTTGGGAAGAATTGAACCAGTGTGTAGGGGAGGCCAGGTGTCATCCTGGGCATCCAGGGCGGAGGGGTCTGAGGAAAGGAATGACCAGAAACAGCTGGGGAGGCCTGGAAGGCTGGGGGCTCAGGCTGAGTTGTCTTGGGGGTCCCAGGGGCTGACGGGGGAGTGAATCATCAGAGGTGAAAGCTAGAGCCACAGATTCCCAGGGGACACGTGCTGTGCCTCAGTATGAAAAATGGTGTGCTGAGGTTGGGACAGTGGCTGCAGGTGGGTGCGGGAAGGCGCCTGGAGGAGGGTAAGCGTCACAGCCCATGTCCTGGAGCGGGCTGCAGACGGGAGGCACGGGTGTGCAGGAGACCACGAGCTGCTCCTTTTCATCTATGAAGACGGGAGTGGGGAACATGGGAGAATATCAGAGGGTCTACTGTGAAGAGGAAGGATTTACCTGCCACAGTGTCGCTGCCTGGCCTGGGCAAAGCTAGGGGAACCGATTTTCAAGGAGTGAAGAAAAAGGGTGGGGTGACTGAGGGGATCCAGCTGCAGGAGACAGAGGCACTCAGGACAGCGGAGTCGGCTTTTCCTTCTGCAAATAAATCTCGGTTTTCTACATCTCAACGCAGGAGGCAGTTGGCTCACCCCAGTTTCCTGTTCTTTCTCTAAGGGGGTTTGGCCTTCCATTGCCTATAAACGGGAGAAAAGCTAATGAGGCTCACGTCCGTGGAGGAAGTTCAGGATGAGGCTGGTGGTTCAGGCATCCAGTGAGTCCGTGGGGAAGCCGCTGGCCTTGTGGTGCTTACAGCTACAGGCAGTGGCTGTGATTCTCCGCCTCAGGGTGAGAAATAGGGGGTGAGGCTGTGGACACCTGAGAGGCACCGTGGGGGCAGCACCCCACAGGCAGAGGCAAACGGTGAGAGTATGGTTTTCCTTCCCATCTGGTGTCCACTGGTGGCTGGCAGCCCCATGCCGAGACCTTTGGTGCCTTTGCTGTCCCCACCCCCTTTCTACCCAGGGCCCCCGATGTGCTCGGCTCTGCCTGGCACAAACCCCACAACTCTCCCTGCCTCTGCTTGTGCAAAATGAGCAAATGTGAAATTGCCCAGTATTGAAGAGCTCAGGACCTTGAATTCCAGGAGCCGGGGATAAATACTTTGTTGTTCTTTAGCATGAGCCAACAAGCCATATCTGTTAACACCAAGCCTTCATTCCCGAGACAACCCTCCCTTTTGATGGTCCTGAGGTGTTGCCACCTAATTTCATGACTTTTGCCTCTGCAAAGGCTTCCCAAATTCGTGCTGGGGCCACGCCACTCAGAGTGGATGCGCGAAGGGTCCTGGTTCTCTGAGACACTCGGGCTGTGCATCGGAAGTGAATCTGAGATTAAACCCCTTAGCTCCCCGTGCCTCCTTCATCACTTCCAGAACTTATGTATAGCAGGTCCTGGTCTTCTTGGCAGTCTCCTTAGGGATGTAGGGGAAGGACAGTTTTCATATCCACTTTCTTTATGTTACCATGAATTAGCTGCTTGCTGAATAAACTTCTCAGACAAAAATCTCACATTTCTCAAGAGTGTTCACCTTTCCACACCACAGTTACCTGCTCTAGTATTTGTACAGTTACATTATTGTCAAAACTGCAGTTCAACTAAATGTCCCAAGTGCAGGTGAAGGTTGGTCCTCAGGTGCTGGTTGAAGCAGGTGAGTGGAACAGTTACAGGGCCCTGCCATTCTGAGGTTGTCAGCGTCAGGTCCATTTAGGGGTGACAGACAGTGCGGCCCCAGCTGGGAGAGGCCAAGGGGACGGGTGAGAGGGAGATCTCAGACGTGGGGCAGGAGCCCCAGGATGGGGGACACCGGGGCCCTGGCAGGCGGCCATCCCAGGACCAGGCAGGTTCCCCCAGCCAGGGGCTGCTTCCCTCCCAAAAGCAGGACTAAAAGGAGGCTCTGGAGTAAGAGGATGGATGGTGGCAGGTGCAGAGGGCGAAGGGGCCCCGCTCAGGATAAGGTGGCAACAGAGCCCAAGGAAATAGAAGCAGCCACATTGCCACAGTGGCCACAGTGGTAGGAGCGGGTGCTACTGGGGAGCCGGGCCCCAGGCTTCATCCACATAGTCTCACTGTAAGTCCGCTCCCTGCTTGTCCGACTCCACACATTGCCATAGCCCTGCCAGGAGGGGTTTGCAAAGGCCACAGCACCGTTGAGTGGGCGCAGGAGGGAAGCACACCAGGAATTCGCCCAGGTCTGAGGTGGCAGGAGACAGCTGGCTGAGGTCAGCAGGGCCCAACCCCGGCTCTGGAGCCTGTGAGCCACCCTGAGGGTACAGAAATCAATGCCTGGGGACATGTGTAGAGTGTGGCCATGTCGCAGCTGTGGCTTCAGCATTCTGAGCCTCCACCTCCGCTGGGGATTAATGAGGTTTTCCGAAATCCTCTGTGTTTGGTCAGTGCTGATCTTTTTCCTAACTGGCGACTTACTGGTTCCAGGAGAGTACTGGGCAGGCTGCAAATGTCTGTGTTAAAACAGCTCCGCTAGGCTAAGACAGGACAGAAGCAGACAGCAGGCGGAGGAGACCCTTTCCCATCCAGCAGAACCCTTCAGCAAGCTCCACAGCCCCTCCATGTGCTCCGTCTTGCGTCCGGGAAGAGGGTTAATTCCATCAGGTATTTCCACACCTCTTGAGCATCCACTTTCCTCTGCGTGTTCTCTGAAACCCACACCCCTGGGCTTGCCACTTAGATGATTCCAGAATTCCCTCACCGCCCTCCACATGCAGAACCTGGCCTTCCTGTTATGGGAATGATTAGGAAAGAAAGTTGCTTCAGGAAATGGCCAGAAAGGGATTCCACAGAACTGGCTTATGAAATGGTTTTCAGAATCTGTAATTAGTAAGCTGGAAACAAAGGCAAAAGAAAAAGTAGAAAATCTTATTGTAGAAAATACGCTTTGTAGTGTTTGAAAAGGCTGTCCTTGTTAAATTAAACCATTAATAACTACAAACTACATAGCATTTGCTTTTTTATTGTTGTCTATAGAGCCAAAATAATTGGTCTATGAAGCCAGTGGGAGTCTGTCTAGTTGGAAAATAGTAGTGTTCATTTTTTGATGCCCCAAACATAAAAGAAAGTGTCGTTTAAATAAGAAAGATGATGTGTGAGCATGGGAGGTGGGTGGACAGTGGGAAATTACTTAATGTGTACAATACTCACCATTTGGGTGAACGCTAACAGCTCAGACTTCAGCACTGTGCAACACATCCATGTACCAGAATTACACCCGTACCCCATACATTTATACAAATAAAACAGATGCAATAAAAACTGAAAAAACAGCCTATGATGTGTCTTGAAGAAATCATGCTTTAAGAAAGATAATTTCACTCTCTAAAATTCAATTTTTAAATTAATTGTATGGGAGATAACTCATATGGGTCAGAAATGAAAAACATGAAAAGCATTTGGTATAGTCTGCTTTCCATCTTCATTACACTCGTCTGTGTAAGAAAGTCTTTCTTAAAAAAAAAAAAAGTCTTATTGATTTCTGGGAACTCTTTACATGTGGTACTCAGTGCTGAGTTATGATTAGCTTCTTGTGCATCCTTACAACTTCCTGATGCAGATGCAAACACACAGGAATGTGAGTACTCACCTTCACCTTCTCTGTGTTTTACACAGATGGTGGCAGATTCCACGCACTTTACCACATCTTGCTCTTATAAATTGGATCATCTCCCATATGACTACATGGAGCATCTCCATTTTCTTACAGCTGTGAAGTATTTTGGTGTGGATGGTTGGTGTTGATAGACACAGATTCTTTCAAATCTTTTGTTATATAATGCTGTTCTCTTGCTAATATGACATTTTGCACCGATCTTTAGAATCAGTCCCTAGGAGTGAAATTGTTGGGTCAGAGAACACATGTCTTTGTAATTCTGTAGGTGTTGCCAAATTATCCTGCGTGTGGTCATGTGATTCGCTCTTCCCAGGTATGAAGGTGACTGCTTCTCTATGGCTCCTTACCTGCACATCATGAAAGTCTTCTGACATTTGCTGATTGAACAGGTTTCCTATAATATTACTAGTAAGACTGAGCATCTATTTCGTTTCTTTTCACTGGACTATGCCATCAAAGCTTTTTGCCTATTGATCTATTGAGCTTTTGATCTTCTTTCTTATTGATTTTTAGAAGTTCTTAATATATTAAGGATATAAGTTGTGATAAGAGGTGAAAATGCATTCTTTTCCTCAGTGTGGGTCCTGATTTCTTAATTTGCTGATGGCAGCTTTTCATGCAGAAATTTCTATTTTTATGTAGTTTAACTTATAAATTCTTTTACCGCATTTGGATTTTTCAGTTTTTATTTAAAAAATCATGGAATTTGTTCATGACTTATGTTAGTATTTTTATGACTTTTAACATTTAAATACTTTATTTGAAATTTATTTTTGTATACATTGTGGGACATGTGTACAACTTTCAACTTTTATTACTTAATTTGCTGAATGCTATTCAGTTGTCCTAATGCCATTTATCACATAGTTTTTTTTTCACTAACAATTTGAGGTGTTACTTTTACGGCTTACTAATTTACCCCCTATTTTTGTGTCTATCTGTATGCTTTTCTGTTGTTCTGTGTGTTTATTCACCAACCAATACAACAATGTTTTAGTTATCAAAACTGTTATTAGTTATTAGTTATATGATCTAAGAATGGGTAAGGCTAATTCTTTCTCTTTGCTCTTCTTTTTTCTGAATTTTCCTATTTTTGTTTGCTTCTTTTTCTATTTGAACGTTAGAATCAGATTGTCTAATTCTCACCTCACAGTAAAATAAATAAATAAATAAATAAAGACAAAGATCCAGAAAAACCTCAGTCTATTTTTATTTAGGTGCATTCATTTACCTAGTAAGTCAGGAAAAGGTGGCATTTTATGATGTTGAGTCTTCCTACTCAAGAACATCCTAAGTCTTTCTACTTGTTCAAGTTTTCTTATATGAATTTTTGAGGGTAGATAAAAATGCATCTCATATAGATCTTAACTTTCTTGTTAAGTTTATTCCTAGGAACTTTTTCTTGCTAATTAAATGAGAGTAATTCCTTTTATTATATCTTCTAAAGCTATTGGTTTCTGTATATCAATTTTATCCCTATGTCTTACTAAATTTTCTTATTTGTAGTAGAAATTAACTTCATATTGTCTTTTGGTTTGAGATAGGCATATCTTACCAAGTTATGAAAATACTTATCAAATCCTATTTTATTAAGTTTTTTAACACTAAATTTCATCAGATACTTTTTCAGTTTCTATATGGATTATCTCACTTTTTAAAATTCTTGGATCTGTTAAAATGAATTACCCATAACCAGCTTTTGAAAACATTGTTTTTTAGTTTTTGAATTTTATTTTCACATGCAAATGTGATTAGTCATCCTTTACAGCATATGTCATTCAAAACCCAATTTTCCATAAGGATGCCATGCTTTCCTAAGCTTTTGGAGTTGTACAGCATCTTGAATTCATTTAACAAAATGTTATAGAAGAAAAAATTTAGAATTAGTGCAGTTGTGTCATTAGTTAAAGCCGACATTTTTCTCTGACTTTGAAAAATAATAGATACTTTTTGTAGTGAAGAAAGCAATTTATAGTACACCCACCTTGAATTCTTTCTTGAACAAAGTAGGTGTGTGTGGATGGATGAGTAGATTGGTAGGCAGACAGATTAGATAAACATTGTCAGTAAAAACATTGTCAGTAAATTTAAATGGATATGATGCACACTTCAAAACTCTTTCTGAAGTAAAATAATGAGAAGAAATCCAAGCCCACAGATGTTGGCCTGTTCAGGTGGTCCTGCCTGAGCACTGTCTCCATGGAAACAGAGGAATGCCAGAAGGAAGGACTGAGGAGACGCTGCAGTGAGTCCACTTTATTCCCAGAAACAGCATCATTTCCTAAGCTTATTTATCACCTTTTAATTTTACAGAATCACATTGTGATTTTGTGGTGACCAAGGACCACGAGTAGAAATGTCTATCTCCAAGGCATGGAGCAGACATTCACAATTTAAAGGAAGCAATCTTCAGGCTCTTTATGAATATTTATCTCCTTGGAACGTCAGCAGGGGCACGAGGAGAGCAGTTGATGCGTCTGGACTCATAAATTGCTCACGTTACATCCAATATCCAGTGTATGGCATGACATGTGTCATGGAGGTGTCTGTAAAGGCCCCACAAACACCAACCTCTGGGTCACTTATTTGTCTCCTCTGCTGTGAAGCTGGCAATAAACACATCTCCCAGAGGCTGGGGGAGGTGGGAACGAAGGATCAAATGAAAACTGCTGAAATGAGGGATTTTCTTCTGTCTTCCTGAATCATCGCCGATAAAACAACAGCAGGGCAGGGGCTGCACCCCTCTTTCTGCTGCTGCAACTGGCGGGTGATGGATTTGATGTGGTGGCAACAAAATGCAGATGGAGGTCAGCACTGTGTTCTGGTTGAGACTTCTCAAACGCTCATTTCACAGTTAATTTTTGTTTGAAACAATGAATGTTGTTATTTTAACGATAGCATGAGTTTAAAACTTTGATGCTTCCATTTTTCAAAAAGGGCAAATAACCACTGACAATAACAAAATCCTTTAATGCAACAGTACTGGGGAATGGAGCCCGGGGCTTCTCCATTTGCTGATTCTAGGCACCTCCATCTCTGTTACTCTCTGATGTTTCTTAAAGGCTTTCGTATATGCATGGGATAAATGCACCACGGCAGAAAACCAGAAATAAATACAATAAGAATGAAGATGAGGCGGTTCTGGACAAGGTGCTGCTGAACCTGGACGTGGCAACAGCCGGAGAGCGGAACAGCTTCCACCAAGGCTGCGCGGCAACAGAACCTTGGAGGCCGGTGAGCTGGATACAAAGCTCCCTGCTTCAGAAGGGACATGGCCTGCTCCAGGCAGAGGATAGTTGAGTAAAGGAGAGAGGCAACAAAGCAGAATGACCTCAACTTTTTTAAAGGTTGAAAAACGCTGAATAAAGGCATAGCTGTGAAGAGTATGGGACTGTTTATATTTGCTGAGTAATCAGTACCACATATTGCTTTGGTGTTGTTTGCACAGCTCCATCCCAGGGTACATCCAAGCAGCATGGGCATGTTTCTGAGCTTTTACAAACCTTCCTTTTTCTATTAAGAAACCTGCAGCATGCACAAAACAGCCATCAGCAAGAGTGTCTGTGATGGGCAGCACACGAGAGTGAACGACGTTGGGTCCTTTATTTTCTGCTTTCTGGAATGGGGGGTTTAAACGGATTTATCTTTTTATATATTCTGCCTAGCATTAGAGAAGCAGGCAACTTTAGTCCATCATTCAAGACCATCCTGCAACCTCAGCTTTTGTGCTTTACAATCTTGTAAAGAAACACAGCACCATAATTAATTAAAATTACAGCACTGTGATGTGAAATTTCAGTGAAAAATCTAAGCCACTGCCTTTGGCCTGAATTCCTTTAGCATAATCTCAGACAGGAACACACATCCCTGATCGAAGGGCCTGTGTGCCTCAGGTGCCCCTACCAGCAGGAAAGGCTCGGAGGCGTGGGCCAGGGGGGTCAGGCAGAGCTAGGGTTCAGTCAGCATCCCTGGGAATCAGGACGCTACACTCACACATACACTTGCTGCTCAATCTGGCAGGACCTGAGACGAGGTAGCACCACTTTCATCTTTAAGAAGGGGGTTTGAAAACAGTCACTGCAAATTAACACAACTTCTCTGACCGGTGTGTGCCCACAAATGGTTTCAGCTGCACCCTGATCAAGCTGGGCTCACCGAAAGATCAGAGGGAAATGTGAGGGCAAACCCATCCAGCGCAGAGCTCTTTCTTCAAGCAAGGGAAGAGAGGTTTCCAAATTTGAAAATGACCTTCGCACCTGCCCTCCTTCCCGGCTCCCCTCTGCAGTGGAATGTTTGAATAAGCACTGATGACTGGCTCCCTAATAGCCCAGATAAGGTTTTACAAGAACAGGTGGGCCTGCTTGAAAGATAAACTTTCCCTGAATCAACAATAAGACAAATGACCTGAATCTTGCAATTTGGTTAATGTTTCTCTCTCCACCTTGCTGTGTACACAGCTCCTTCTGGCTGGCTGCATGAAGAGTGGGCCTGTGTGTGCCAGGCCCTGCAGTCTCTGCATCCACCTGATGTCTCCAGGGAGGGGCCTGAATCATCACACACCGTGAGCCCAAGCTCCACCTGCTCATCTCCTGCCTCCCACCAGCTGCTCCTCAACTGCCAGGGCCAGATTCTAGCAAAATCTCGCTCTTCTTTAGATGACTGGGTTTCCCTGGTGTCGGGGTGGCCGGACGGGGGGGAAGGTCGGGGGGTGGGGGCATGGGGGTCTGGAGTGCTTGGTGGCCTGAGAGTGCAGTGAATCCACGTGGCCCACAGGTCTGGCCAGGGACGCAGCCCAGCCGGTGCCTACCCCTACTCTGTCCATTTCATGAGAGTCCCCAGTTTCCTCACTTCCCTCAGATTTTGCCAAGAGAGGGGTCCCAGTGTGGCCCAGAAAGGCCAGCGGGGTGCAGCCTGGACTTAGAGCACAGGAGGCTCTGGTGGGGAGAAAGTGGCTCTCCAGCCTAGCCCTGCTGGTGTGCGGCACCTCCTGGCTCCAGGCCGTATGTTGTCCCAGTCCTAGGTAAGAAACACAGAGACAAAGCCAGCCCCATGGGGCTGGAGAAGCAGGAGGCCGCTCTGACAGCAACATGCAGCGTGCACAGCCCTGGAGTGGGCGGGACACTGGAGCTGCGTATGGTGCGGACCTGGTTGTCGAGCTGAGCTGAGCAGCAGGAGCCAGTTTGTTGCTCAGAGCCTTGTGTTTTCACAAAGAGCCCCAGGTCACAGGGGCTTCTCTGGGTGCCTCTTTGCTGCCACGATTGCCTGCGGGCGAAGAGCGGACCCTGTGGACCCACTTGTTTTGCTGTCTTCAGATGGAAAAGCCACTGTCCCAGCCTGGAGGAGAGGAAACGGATTTGGGGAGCCTCAATGTTGATTTCAAAACAGATATGTTCTCCCAGATGGGCAGGAACCCCAAGCTGCCTTAGGCCGCAAGAGCTTTACCCTTTCTAATTAGCATCCCTGTGACCTGCTCTACACCTGCAGATACTTTGCTCAGTCAGCCGGAAGGAGGGAGCCCAGACACCAGCCCCCATGGACCTGCGACTGGGATCCCCTGCCTGGGGACGATTGGGTCGGGGTCTAGCAGCTGCCCCAGAAACAAGTGGGGCCTCAGGAGGCTGACGGTGAGCTTGGAGGTTGGCATGATTCTAAATCTGGGCACTGCGGGGTCCCCACAGGTCACGACCCTACTCTGCTCCACCCAGGCTCCTGAGGACCTGAGCAGGAGCCTCTGCAGGGCGAGCCCTGCCCTCTCGCCAGCGGCACTGCTCTCCGACAGCCTGGGGCTCTCCTCCTTCCTGTAGCTTGGTGGTTCGCTGTCGCCAGTGTGGCTGGGCCTACAACGGGCTCCTCTTCTCCTTCCTGCAGCAGGGCGGTCCCTCCTGCCTCAGTTTCTCGGACTAGGCTGCCTGTTCCATCGCGAGGCACTGAATACTCGCAGCTGTTTCCGTCCGCCCCATCTGACTGCAGGGTCTCCCTCTGCGTGGTCAGTTTGCTGTGTTCCCACAACTCGCCTGTATGTAAAATTTCTTCTCTACTCTGCAAGCTCTATGTCCTGGAGGGCAGGGCCACGCCTCACATGCATGTTGCCCACATACTCAGCAATAGATGCACTCACGCTTGTTAAAAGTAAAACCAATTAGCCAATTTAAAGGAGTTTAACTGAGCAAAGAATGATCCACAAATCAGAGACCCTCCCGACCCAGAGTGGACTCAGAGACTGCAGCACAGCCATGTGGTGGAAGAAGATTTAAGACTGAAAAAGGAAAGTGATGTACAGAAAATGGAAGTGAGGTACCGAAACAGCCAGATTAGTTAAGCTTGGGGTTTGCAGTATGTGAACCTGGTTGAAGAGTTGGCCACCTTAGACTGGCCAAAACTCAGTGATTGGCACAAGAGTAGGCCACAGTCTTGTTTACGATTCCATTTAGCTTATTGCTCATGATGTACAGAGGAACCTTTAGGATGAAATTAAAACGTGCAAGGAGGTAGCTTTTGGCTACACTTGATTTGAAAGCAAGAGATGCTTGGTGGAGGCTACACTCTCCTCTCCACATTTGTGGGCTGCTGAGCCCACAAATATGGGAGAACAAAAGACAGCTAGAGAAGGCCACAAGCTGGACCCAATCCCCACATATTCAGGAGTAAACACTGGTGCTGTGAAAGGGTCAGTGCCTCCTTAAACATCTCCACAGACAGAGCTCTGAACGCACATGAACCGCTACACACAACAGAGTTCGACAAGCCATAGGGCTCTATACAGACAGATTTCTATGCCACATAGATTTCCATACCACAGAGCTCTCTCCATGACACAAAGCTCTCCACAGACACAGAGCCCTCCACACCACAGAACTCTCCACAGA